ATACTCCTATATTTGTCAAATGATTTGCTCCAATACACATCATGGCGTGCTTACCCAATGCTTTAGCTCCTTTAAACTATTTTGCTACTTATATTGTATCGTTGGTTGCCTTAATACGCATTACGCACTTTCATTATCTATGAATAAGTTTTTTCACATTTCAGTTTCCTTTTTATATGCATTGCATCTTTGAAGACATTATTTTCATGAGGATGATATATGAGTGGGTTCATGGATAATGGCTATGACAATGTTGCTAGACATTCATATGTTCAGCTTCACAACAATTGATGCTGAATTATGACTTTTTTTTTTCCCTTTAAATTACAGTAATGGCCTTGAGAACAGTGACGAGGAAGTTAGGGAGTAAACTATTACCCAGGTTTTCTCCTGCGTCTCTATTGCATTCACATGCCACAAGCTTCGGTTAGCTCTCGTCCTCTCTCTCCCCTTTCTCAGTTGTGTTCGTGTGCATGTTTTAATGTATAATTTATTCAAGAAAAAGGAGTCAGTGGTTAGCGTAGTGTGTGCAAAATATGAATATTGAACCCTAACTTCTAATTTTGTGTTGTGGCACAGTGAATGTTGTATTAGTTCAAACAAAAATTACCCTGGTTCAGTTGGTTGGTAAATAATAATCGATCAGTGTATGATTTGCAGGATTTAAAGAAGTAAGAGAAGACGAAAAAAGGCGAATGGTTGGTGATGTCTTCAGCAATGTTGCTTCAAACTATGATCTAATGAATGATGTAATGAGTGCAGGATTACACAGATTATGGAAGGACAGGTTAGCATCTTGCAGATTTACCTTTATGCTTTGTTTTTGTCTATCTAAACTTTTATCAAACAAGCATATTACTGTATTTTTCCTTTCCATGACTATACATCTGCCCAAATTTTCAGGTTAGTTTCCAAACTAAATCCTTTTCCTGGAATGAAGCATCTTGATGTGGCTGGTGGGACAGGTGAGCTTGTGATATGCATTTATATATGATAAATTCATCAAATTATGCGAACCATAAGACTTTGGGACACATGTATTTTATCAGGTATTTTTCTGTAGTAACAAGTGGTATTAATGTACTTGGTTCAGTTTTGGGTATTTTAAAATAAAGCTTACATTCCTATCGCTAAATATTGAATCCAGTTGGGGTTGGGTAGAGATCTGACTTATGGAGTGGGCCAAGGATGCAGTTAGCCAGACAGAGTTAGTAGGTATCCAAAAACTTCCGTCAGACCAGAATGGACTGGAATTGCCCTTGGGTCCAAATGACACCATCCCATCCTGTATTATGGGGTGGATGGTGATCTTGTGGGTACATTACCTGCTGGGTGCAGGAGGGCATCTACCATTGAAAAATAGAATTCTTAACCATTCTCCTTTTCAGAGATCTCCTATTCCTAACCTGAATGTAGCTGCTACATGACAATGTGTTTTCCTTGCCTGGAATGGTATTGAAATGAACTGCTTTGGTCTAACCTAGTTTTACGCTCTTCTGAGAATCTTTGGATTATATATGTCAATCTTACTGTTATTTTAAAAAATATTATTATTTTGTCAGGTGATGTTGCTTTCAGGATACTAGACTCTATAAACAGCATCAGACGGAGAGCTATGCAAGATGTTCTTGAAGATGATTTACAAGAAGAGACTAAGGTTTATGTATCTGACATAAACCCTAACATGTTGAATGTTGGTAAAAAGCGGGCCTTGGATAGAGGTAAAATTAATGCTGTGAACTTTGACTTTTGTTGGATTAGACATTCTCCTTAAAGGACAAATAAGTTTCTACTTTTAAGATCGTGTACTGAAATTTATAGGTCTTGGAGGAGACAAATCCCTGCTATGGGTGGAGGGAGATGCAGAAGCCTTGAGCTTTGGAGATAATACAATGGATGGTTACACAATTGCATTTGGGATTAGGAATGTTACACACATAGAGAAAGTGCTTTCTGAAGCTTATAGGTAAGGTCAAACCTTTATACTGGTTAACCTATTCTAATAGTTAATAACCAATACATGGAAAATTATCATCATATTAAATTGGTAGGTGGTCTCTCTTGAACAGGCTATCACTCCGTGCATATGAATGTGGCTTTTAGTTGTTAGGCTTGCATCAAGACTGAATCAATGCATTATATGGTCTACTGTTGAATATGTAATTTGAATTTTTTTAAGCACATCGTGTCCAGCGGTTTATTTTATTTTTGGATTTATAACTCTAGTGATACTGCTTGAGTAGTTAAATTGTCCCTCCTTGTGACTGCTATTTTGGTTGTCTCAAATTGCTTATTCTCATGCTGGAGCTTTTAAAAATGGAGGGAAGGATTGTGAGACATCTACCTCCTTGTCTCTATGAGATGTTATATACAACTAGGAAAACTTATAAAACATTTTTGAGACAATTGATAATCTATTTCTTGGCTTTTCCATAAGAAGAATACAAATATCTAAAATGGTTTCCAAAGTTTGATATTTGAATATGTTCCCTTAGAAAGAATCATATTTGCTCAATGTCATACAACAGATGAACCAATATCTAGAGCTACAGTAGGTAAAGAGAACCAGATGAAAGCCTTAAGAGGCATTTTTTATTGGTGTGGGCCAAAGCCTGTTACCGATCTTGTTATTTGTATGCACATGCAGTTTTAAATGACCAAACTATGAAAGCTAATATGGTGAGCGTATATTACTGAGGGGATGAAAAGTGAGATGAAACTACTGGTATAGCACTTGACCAAAATGAAACTACAGGTATATAACTGACTTCTGCTTTTTTTTATATTCTGCACTCTAAGAATTAGTACTAAAATATGCAGTGACCTGTGAAACAATCTTCTGCTAGGGCATTTCTACAGCAGATCTATGTATCATTTCTTATGCTGGTCTTTTTATTTTTAAGTCAAATTGATATGCTTATGGTGTTTGGTTTTTATGATCTTGTTAATAGGGTGCTAAAACATGGAGGAAGGTTCTTGTGTCTTGAACTGAGCCATGTAGATGTTCCTGTCTTTAAAGAATTGTAAGCATTATTGGCACTTTTTTCTTGTTGACAAAAGTGATATTCTAAACTATTATAATGTACCTTGGGGGGCAGGGGCACACTGCCTTGGCCAACTCCCACATTTGCGCATTATTGATCCTTTAGTTTGGTTAAAGTAAGACTTGGTAAACCACTTGCTTACTTATGTCAGAATTTCATTTTAGTTATCATGGGTATTGTTATCCTCATCATCTTTGTACAAGCAATATTGAAGTCTCATAGTTGGCTGCATAGATCTTTTTCTAAGAAATTTTTAGAAAATGATTTTCCGTGAACTTTATCCTGCTGTTAGGAACGTTTGACGCTCCAGCTGCTTACTCGAAATGTTATATTGAAGTTCCTTATCCCATAAAAGAAAAGGAAAAGGAAATGCTAACTTGAAGTTTACGTTAAATTTATTTTTCTCTCTTGTTACAAGCACCATATGCAAATGCGTAGACACTTAGAATGTGCATTTGTGTATCATTTAATATTCACTAGGCTCGAGCTTAGTGAACAATATATTGCTCCATGTTATTGGTTGCAACTTGCAATTGAGGATGTAGGACAATCGTGAAGTGCCACATGGTTGGGATTTAGCACGGCACCAGATGGCAGCTTTGCTCACCATAGTGTGAGCATGTGTCACGCACTATTTTGTATCAATGTTTGATTATGTTGTCATTTGATGAACCCTTGTTCTTTCTTTCTTGTGTGTTTGTATAGGTTTTGTATTTTAAGGTTTCCTTATTTCTTCATGCAGCTATGATTATTACTCATTCTCAATCATTCCCACACTGGGAGAGCTCATTGCAGGAGATAGAGAATCTTATCAGTACTTGGTAGAGAGTATCCGCCGTTTCCCCTCACAGGTTTGATTTTCAGCTTCCATATTTTAATACTCCATTTCAGTTTTATCTGCAAATTGATTGGATATTGCTAGTAGTTCTTTTGTAACTTTTGTTAAATGTCCTTAGAATTTATCTTAATTGATTATTGCAGGAGACATTTGCTTCAATGATTGCAGAAGCAGGTTTCCAGAAGGTGGAATATGAAAATCTTGTTGGAGGAGTGGTTGCGATTCATTCAGGGTTAAAAGTTTAGTAGTGCAGTTATGAATTTTAATCTTAAAAAATCTCAAAATTCTGCTTGAACAATTTTTGGCTTTGAGCTTTTTGTTTTGCCTGCCTACCTTCGAATCAAATGTAAGAAATTAAATAGGTGACCAAATGTTTTTTTTGTCTTGTCCTATATAAAAATTAAATATATAATTTTTTGTATATTGTTTCACAATTTTGGACATGAGTATGGGTATATGCTTCATACTTTGAAACTATGAATCCCCAAAATCTCTCCCTCTCTCTCACCAAAATATGACAATTCATCCATTACCAGTCTTCCCAATGATTTGGATCCACATTATCCTAACCAGCAATTAAACTATTATGGTTGTATTGTTAGGATGAACTCTTAGCATATGAGCTTTCCAATTCATTTTCCCAATCTTGACATGAAGCCAATGTGAACATGATAAGAGAAGAACAAATTAAGGAAAAATATTTGGATATTATTTTATTAATTGACACACATTTCTGCTAATTGCAAATAATGCATTACCGGCAAAAGCAAGCATGCATGACATTTATTCAGAAGATACTGATAACAAGTTCTCTGTTTCATAAGGATTAAGGGATAAAACAGCAAAGTAGTATAAAACTTAAAACTTGGTATTATTTTTCTTCTCCTCAACTTTGAGTTAAAAATAAATAACATTTGTCAACAGGGTCTAGCCCAGTAAAAAAAGGCCTTGACTTGCACATCAGTGGTCTCATGTTCGACCTCTAAGGTACTGTGGTAGTGTGTGAGAAACTCCTCTTTTTTATTTGAACTATCGCTTGTATTAAAAACGAAAGGAATAAAAACCTTTGAGATGTGCTCTTTCAATTACCTACATGAGATTAAATTTTCACGTTTCAATAATTAATAACAGTAAAAGAAATTATTTTTTTGGGGTCGAAACTAGGGCTGGCAATGGGTCGTGTCGTGTCGGGTTCGTGTCGTGTCAAACTTTTAAACGTGTCAAGAAACCCCAACCCAAACACGACCCATTTATTAATCGTGTCAGGAAATGCAAACCCAAACCCAACCTGTTTATAAACAGGTTGACACGACACGACCCATTTGTAACCCGTTTACTAAACAACATCACATTCCTAACTCAAATACAACATCACATTCCCAACTCAAATATTCAGCCACCATTGTTAATGATGGTATTAAAGAACTCGGCAAATTGATGATGGATGTTCAGAAGAGGAAGAGGGCCACGGAGCCGTAATGTTGTCATTAAGATCACAAATGAAGTTGATTCCCGAAGTTATATCATAAGTTGCATCTGAAGGCAAGCTTGGCAGAAGGCAGCCGTACTGTAATCATATATGAATAGAATAAACAAAAATTTAGATCAAAGAACAGAGCGGAAAGAATAGAAAGAACAAAAGAAAAGGATTTCTTAAGGGAATCTATAATGCAAAACTCTAAGAGTAATAATATTTTCAAGAAATAAATCTGTTGGTAGAGAATCAATTAGCATATTCATTGTGGATTAAACACCCAAATCCTTGTTTTAATTAATAACAACAGAATAAAAAGCCTTGATGATAGAACCCCCAATCGATTGATAAGCTAATAATAAATTGAAAAGTTTAAAGCCCAGAAAACTTCGGAACAAGAACAAAAAAGAAATCTAAATGAACACGAATTCAAAGCCCAAAAAATACCCATAATTATTTCCCGAGAGGAAAGCAGTCTCAGGCTTAGCTCTTCTTCTCTGGGAGGCAGAGACGGAGACTGAGAGATGCAGAGGATGGGAGGCAGGGACGGAGACTGAGAGATGAGATGGTGAGACTGAGAGAGAGATGCAGAGACGGAGACGGAGACTGAGAGATGCAGAGGATGGGAGGCAGAGACGGAGACTGAGAGAGAAAGGAGCTGACGAATGTTTACATTATATATTGTGCTGTAGGTTATTAGGGTTCAAAGTAAATGGGTTTGGTACTATACAGATTACCTTATTTTCATCTCCAATATACAGATTACCTTATTTTCATCTCCAACATTTAAGTAAATGTCTTTGTCATTTTACTTTTATTTATTTGTAAATGTCTTTGTCATTTTACTTTTTTTTGGTGAAAACAATCGAAACACACTTTCATTGAAAGGGAAAGGAGACAAAAAGAAGCGGCAACCAAACATAGAGCCCAAATCTAACAGCAACGCTGCCAAACACAAATTGAACCAAACAAATTAAGAAAGTCTCATCTTCTCTTTCTTCACTTTCTCCGTCGTTGAACAAATATATATTTTTTCATTATACAAAAACATATTGGAGCGCGCAAATACGAGGTTAGTCAAGTTAGCTAGAGCGGATGTGTTCTCCACCTGAGTTTGAATTTTCTTCCTCGTAGTGTAGATTATATTAAAGTAAAATATCGTTTAGATTAAAAAAACCATTTTGGGGTAATCATAAAAACATATTTAGGGCTAGTTTGGCATTGCTGTGCTTTTAAAAAAAACTGCTTCTGCTGTGCTGCGAAAATAATCAGCTGTGAAAAAAAGCAGTTAGGCGTTTGGTAAACTATATTTGAAAAACTGCTGTGAGTAGTCGAAGTGTTTGGTAAAATTTTATCAGAAGTGCTTTTAGTATGTATAATGACCGAAAAGGGCATGATGATGAAATTGTTTGTTTTTTTCTTCATTCTTTTTCTACTTTAAAAAAAAAGAAAACAAACTTCACTACATAATTTTTTTTTCTTTATTTAATTTACACATTGTTTTTATCAAAAATTGTAATCTACAATTAGCACACATATATTACCATAAATTATAAATCAATATTGTAACAAAAGTAGTTATAAATATTGTTATATTAATAATAACAATGTGTTTTGAGGGCTTCGGAGAGGGTTAGCATAACGAATATACAAAACTTGTTCAATTTTAACATGCCCAAATAGATCACTACAATATAAAAGAAGCTAATTAGATGCATTCATTAAACTTGTAGCAATCCTATTTCTCAATGCTTCCATCTCTTGTGTTCCATTGTCATGAAGACTATCTTCTTGTTGTACATCAATATCCTCACCTATCTCTTCACTTAAGATATCATTTGAAGCATCAAAATGTCTACCACGTTGATATTATTATGGTTATTCCATGTAGCTGGAGCTTTTGATGAACTTCCCACATTCTTTCCCATCCTTACTAAACCAATATGTGTTGAGTATGAGAAATAGATAATAGCAAATAATTATCCCAATATATATTATACTGAAAGCATAAAAAAAGCAAACTTTCCTTTTCCTACATGTATGAATATTCATCTATATTATTCATGTAATAACAACAAATAATACTAATTAAAACAAAACATCCCTTAAA